TTTGACACAAAGCACCTAAAAAAATGCAGTTTCTTTTTAATTTTACATTTAACTAATCTGAAAAGTATGAAATAACAGTATTTTATGATTTAAACAGTTCAGAAATTGTTTAAACAAATAATTGTTATTGTTTATTAACTTTTGATACAAACAATTCAGAAACTTGCAGTTTCTTTCTAATTTTACAATTACTACTACTCTGATTAACTAATTGCAAAATAAGAAAAAACTTCATTTTTCTAGATGCTATGTGTCAAGAGATAGTAAATAACAACAATTATTTGTTTAAACATTTGATAAATTGTTAAAATTAAAATCATAAAACATCTGAATGATTTACTATTTACATTAGTTAATTGCAAAATTAGGAAAAAACTGCAAGTTTCTAAGTTATGTGTATCAAAAGTTAATAAATAACAACAATAATTTGTTTAAACAATTTCTGAATTGTTAAAACCATAAATTATCTTTATTTTATGTCGTTCGTATTACTTAATTGCAAAATTAGGAAAAAAATTGCAAGTTTCTAAGTTATGTGTATCAAAAGTTAATAAATAACAACAATCATTTGTTTATACAATTTCTGAATTGTTAAAACCATAAATTTTCTTTATTTTATGTCGTTCGTATTAGTTAATTGCAAAATTAGGAAAAAAATTGCAAGTTTCTAAGTTATGTGTATCAAAAGTTAATAAATAACAACAATTATTTGTTTAAACAATTATTAAAATGTATTAAAAACCGTTATACCTTGATGAGTTAATTATTAAATAAATAAATTCAGCTGGAACAACTTTAAAATTTCAATAAAACTAAATGTCTGTTAGTGTAGTACAATAAAAGTTTATAATTATTGACAATAATAAATTGTTTAAAATAATAATGATTATTATTATTATGAATTAATTGTAGAATGATTTATTGTGAATAGTTATATTTAATTTTCAGACTTTTTCTATTATAATGTTAATATTTTTATGAAAATGGGAAGCCCAGGTGGGGCCCAGCTGGCTCCCAGTTTTTAACTGGGCTAACTTGGGCAGATTTCCACACGGGAATTGAAACTCCAAAATATGTTTATATCTAATACATTTTTTTTGAATATCTTTAATTGTAAAATCATTTGGAACTTAAATAGACTTTTTGAAATAAATATTTAATTATTATCCATTATTTTTCCATAGGTATTAAAATTTCAAATTTCAAATCCTTTAAAATAGAATAATTTTTAAGAATTGCTACTGTAACTTATTAAAAATTATTTTCAAAATTTCAATTCAATTATTTTTCAGAAATTTTAACTAAAATATTTCTAAAATCCACTTGTTTACAAGACAATTTCGTGAGATTTTGAATAATTTGAAAGTTTTTCAATTAAATATTATATATTTAAAAATATAACTAATTTGAAAAGAATGTAAATAAAAATGTTTCAAAAAACTAACTACTTCAGAATTTTTAATTAAAATCTTTTACAATTCAACTTTTCTAAGACTTCAATTTGGAACATTTTTAAAATTCTATCCATATCATTATTAGTAATATATTTATTTAATATTCTAAAATATAGAAATAGTTGCTTATGAATAATTGTAAAAAAACGAATTGATATTAATGGAAAATAGGGTTTTTTAAAAATTTAATTTCTAAGAAACGAATTTTTTTATTTTTTATTTACTTTATTTATTATTTAAAAATTTATTTTTATAGATTTCGTATCACTTTTGTTTTAATTAGTTCAAATTTTTACTAATTCAAAATCAGGATTTCTACAAATTTCTCCTTATAAAATTCCATGATTTTTCCATGATTTCCAGGTGATAAATGATAAAATTTCCATCACACATTAAAACAAAATTTTTGTCAGTTAAATCAGATAAATATCATGAAAAAATTTTTTGTCAGGGAAATTAAGAAAATTGAGACTATTTTTCAAAAATTGCGACTTTTTCGACTTTTCTTCCAAATATATTGCAACAAAATACCACAATTTTTAGTAAAAAATTGCAACTTATTTTGATTTTGATTTGTTACAATTTTTGAAAATCAACGTTTGAAGAATTTTAATTGCAAATTTTGAAAATAATTGAATTATCAAAAATTTTAATGAAAAATCTTTAAAGATAAATTTAAAAATGAAAATAAGCTTCTAATTTTTTAAAATTCAATATTTTTAATATTTTCAATTACATATTTCCAAAAATAATAACATTTTAGAATTATTTTTAACATTTTGGAGAAAACAATAATGTTCAAAATTTTTAATTGAAATTCATAAAAAAATTGATTAGTTTTTTAAATTATACAAAAATTCTTTTAAGAAATACAATTATTTTCAAAAAATAACATTAATAAAATACTTTTAAAAACTAATTATTAGAATTGTTTTGTAATAATTTTTTAAGATTTAAAATTTACTCTTTGGACTTATTAAAATTTTTGAGAAATCATAGTCATATTTATAATTAAAATTATTCAAAAATTTGATCATTTTTATTTATACTTTTCAAAAATTCAATTATTTTTAAAAGATTTTACCAAATTCGAATTGCTTGGAAATTTTTCAAAATTGAAAAACTATTATCGTTCAAAAATTATTTTAAAATATTTTTAAAAAATTAATTGTAAGAATTTCTTTATTATAATTTTTTAAAAATATTATCCCTTAGTAACTTAAGAAAAAACTATGGAGAGTCACAATTATTATAAAAAATTGAGTTTACGTATTTAAATAATTGAATTCTAGAAGAACTTTTGGAAAAATATATAAATTAATAAATTCAAAAATGAAGATTAGTTGAAAATTGTAGAAAATAATTAAATTCAGGAAAGGTTATAATTGTAATTTTTAGAAATTATTAAAATTTGTAAATTTTACTTATTTTCCGTAAACATGAATATTTTCCTACTGTAAAAATAATTTTGTTAGGGAATAGAATTTTATTGTTAGAAATAGAAAGAATTTAAAATTAAATTTAATATTTTCTTTTTTAAGACTGTTACGTTGGACAACAAAATTCATAATTTTCTTATATAAATTCTAGAAATTGAATATTTTTCCAGTACTTTTGATAAAATTCCCTGACAAAATAAAACGATTTTATAGAAGATCATTCAATCTTTTTTAATGAAATATAATTTAATAGTCTTAAAATAAATATTTCTATTTTTCTCACAAAATAATCAGTGTTTTTAAAAAAAAATTTCCAAAATCCTGGTCAAGATCAAAATTTACTGTCATTTCCCGATTTTTTCGGTCCAGCGGCCACCCTGGCAAATTTAATCTTGACAAGGAAATTTAATTTTAATAAGAAAAAATTTATACTGAATTCCCTTGTTATAATGTATATATTATTATTTTGCCTTATCTAGTCACTATTATTTTGAAATATAATTTGAGATTTTTATTTTCAATCCAACATAAATCACGACGTTCAATAAAAGTTTATTTTCTTATGAAAATCTTGTTTCATGAGGCTTTACAGCGCATGTTGTAAAATTCATGAAGACGCCCGTCAAAGAATTTTTTGACTTCGATCGATGATGCACACGGTGCAGAAATTATTATTTACGTACATTTTCTTCTAAAATGCTTAGATTTACAAGTTTTTCTTTTAAATCTAGTCTCCTTTAAATCATATATAGTTTCTCATAGATATAATTTACCGCACGAGAATACTTTTTTGAATAAATAAATAAATATATAAAATAAACTGAGATATTTTATTCCCAATGAGAATACATCGGAAATAGGAATTTAAAAAATTTAAGTTATTTTAAAATTTTTTTATAAAAATTCGCTTATCTAACTTATTATTTTCTTTAAATTTGAATTAATAGTAAAAATAAATAATTTTATAGTACAAAATTTTATTAAAATTTTTTAGTAAAATATTTAACTAAAATATTCGATTGAAATATTTCTCTAAATTATTTTACTGAAATATTTCACTAAAATAATCGATTAAAATATTTAATATTCAATTAAAATATTTTACTGAAATATTCGATTAAGATATTTCCTCAAAATATTCATAAAGAAAATATTTTACCATAATAATTTCAAACATCTATAATTAAAGTACCAAAATAAAAAAAAATTATTTTCGTACCGTTTCAGGTAAATTTATTATTTTGCGTCAAAAATGCAAAAATAAAAATGAAATTAACTGAAAAATTGAACGAATCAAATTCTGTACAAAAATTAATATAAAAAATAAAAGAAAGGAAGAAAATAAATAAATAAAGAAAAGATAAATTTTAAAGCAATTTAAATGATAATGCCAACGTTTTGTGACGCATAAAAAAGAATTACTGTTTTAACAATTTCTATATGTAAATACTTATGACTTTGTAGAATAAAAGTTAACTTTTCCTTCTTTTTAATGCTATCACTTGAAACGTAAAAACTTTATTGCATAAAGAACAATAATTTCAATAGTAAAAATTTGCATATTATACTATTATGACGTTCGTGGTTAAAAGTTTTAATAATTTGATGATAATATTGACTCTCAAGAAGATTGGGAATAAAATAAGCCACTTGAGAGATAAACTTAATAAACTATATAAACATAAAAAAATTCTCTCTGATAAAAGATTTCAATTAAAAAATATTTTGTTTTAGGTACATGAAATAAGTAATCACTAAATGTAACCATGTGTTTTTCATTAATAAACGAAATTTAATAAGTTCATGTATTTTATTTATTATTATATATGTATGAATGTTATTTATTTATTTAATATATAAACGGGATATTTTATAAAAAATAAAATATTTAAATTTCAGAAAAAATCAAGTAAATTTCAGCAAAAATTAAATAAATTTTAGGAGAAATTAAATAAATTGTAGAAGAAATGAAAATAAATTTTAAAAAACATTAAATATAGAAATTTTAGAAAAGATATTTTAAAATAAAAATATTTAAAAAACTAGCGCGCTTGAAATTAGTTCTCCACTTCACTTTCAGATGGCACAACTTTCTCAGTCAGCTGATTTTTGTAAACAGACTGACACAATCGATATGAATTTAGAATGCAATTTGCCTAATAATAATTTCTTCAAGAAATTAAATAATTTTTCTGTTTTCTTCTAAAAAAAAAAAAATTACTCTAATTTAATTGCATTCAAAATGGTCAAGCGTTATTACTGTGATTATTGCGACAGAAGTTTTAAGGACGATCCAGAGGCAAGAAAAAAGCACTTGACGAGTTTGCTGCACGTCAATGCACAAAAGGATCATTACCGATTGTTCAAGGGTATAACAATTATTTTTTATATTATTTTTAAAAATAACTGTAAATATTATTATTATTATTTAACCATTTTTTCTAAATCTTCTAGAACCGGAGGAAACTTTAAAAGAGGAACTAGCAAAAATTACTTGTAAGAGATTCTCTCTCAATGGCGAATGTCCATTTGGCTATAGTTGCAGATTTTCTCATTATACACCAAATATGATAGGGGAATTAAGACAAATTGGTATGAATTTATTTTTTTTAATATTGAAAAATATTAAAAAATTAAAAATATTGAAATATTAAAAAATATTTAAATATTAAAATATATTAAATATATTATAATATTAAAAGATGATAAAAACGTTGAAATATTAAAAAATATTAACAGCATTTAAAAATATCTTTCATAACCTTTAAATCAAAAAATTAAACCGTCTATAATTATTTGTATTATTATAAATAATACACTTAAAAAAATTTGTTTGACTGAAATAACCGATTATTATTTTTTTTATTATTAAATAAAAATCTACTTAAATAATTTTTGTTACAAATAATTTTTATAGAAATCAAATAAATTGTATTTGACCAAAAAATTCAGTATTTGAAGCAAATAGAATTTAATTTGACTAAATAAAAATGATTTGATTTAAGAAAACATTTATTTGATTTAAGTAAATATTTATTTGATTCAAGTAAATATTTATTTGAATCAAATAAATTTTTTTTAATGCAACTGTTTCAATTGGAATTCTTTTTTTAAATTTCAGTCGCCATGAAGAAACAAGCAGAAGAAAATCCGAGAAACAATTGGCCGGATCCAAATGCAATTGCTGAGGAATATTTGAAAACAACAACAAACGATGATAATGAAATGAAAAGCATAAAAGAACCATGGAAAGTACCTGTAGAATTGCAACATTTTCCCACCCTTCCACCTTCCCTGTGGCCATTAAACTCACATACAATTAATGATCCCCCTGTCACACAATGGGGATAAAATTTTTATATTTATATTACTGCTTAATAAATTAATTTTTATAATAAAAAATTCTTCATTATCATTTAATGAAATTCATCCACAAAGCTATTTCTAAAATTCTTCCATATAATCACTAATAAAATTTTTCCAAACCTTGATTTACACCCAAAGAAAAATTTATTTGATTCAATCAAATAATTTTTATTTAATTCAATTAAATTGTATTTTAACCAATAATTTTAGTATTAGAAGCAAATATTATTTAAAGAAGTTCGACGATGAGCATCGAAAAATATTTTTTTTCATGAAACTGATAAAAATTATTCATTTTTTTGAAGATTTAAAGTTAAAAAATCACTTTTAAAAAGTTTTTTACTTCCTGCGTAAAAATTTCTTCGAAAAAATTCAATTATGTTAAAAAATTAAGAAAAATTCTCGTCAAAATTTCAATTAACTTTATAAATAATAAAATTCTTGGCAAAATTTCAATTATTTTCTAAAAATTTACCTCAATTTATTGATTTTCAATTATCTACTATTTCAATAAAATTTTCCAAGCAAATTCAATTATTTAAAAAATTGTTAATAAAATTCTATATAAACATTTAATTATTTTTATAATTAACATTTCACAGCCCTTCAATTATTTACAAAATTTTATACAACATTTCTTCACAGTAATTCAATTATTTTCATAAATAACAAAACTCAAAGCAGAATAATAATTTCAATTATTTATAATACAATCTTTTAATGAATTCCTCAAAAAAAGCAATTATTCTTAAAATTTTATTAAAATTCTTTAAAAGAATTCAATTATATAAAAAATGGACATAATTTGTTTATTAAAATTTAATAATTATTTTACTATAAATTTTTAATTAAATTTCTAAAAAGAATTTAATTATTTTCAATAATTTTAATGATATTATTCGGAAAATTTCAATTATTTTCAAAAATAATAAAATTCTTCGCAGAAATTCAATTATGTTCAAAAAATTAGAAATATTCTCGTCAAAATTTCATTTATCTTTATAAATAATAAAATTCTTCTCCGAAATTCAATTTTTTTCAAGAAAATTTAATAAAATTAATGTCAAAATTTCAATTATTTTCAAAAATTTTCCTCATTTTAATTATGGTTATTATATCTACTATTTTAATAAAATTTTCCAAAAGAATTTAATTATTTAAACAACATTTCAATAAAAATTTCACAGCAATTCAATTACTTAACAATTTTTTTTTAAATTTCTTCTATACAATTCAATTATTTTCAATTCAATTCTTCTTAAGAATTCAATTATTTTCACAAATAATAAATTTTTTGATGGGAATTCAACTATTTAAATAGATTTTTATAAAATTCTTCACAAAAAATCAATTATTTTCATAAATAATACAATTTTTCCCGAGAATACAATTTTTTTTAAATTTTGATAAAATGCATAGAATACAATTATTTTTGTAAAATATAATATTCTTCCTAGGAATACAATTATTGTCAAAATATTTATAAAAATTTTCGAAACAATTCAATTATTTTCATAAAAAATCAAATTCTTCCAAGTAATTCAATTATTTCAGAAATTTTAATAAAATTCTTCCCAAGAATTCAATTCTTTTCAAAAATAAAATTTTTCTCAGGAATTCAATTGTTTAAAAAAAAATTCAATAAAATTTTTTGTCAGATTTTAATTATTTTCAAAAAGTTTTTAAAAATTCTGAGAAATTCAATTATTTAAAAAAATTTGAATACTATTCTTTACAAGAAATTAATTATTTTCATAAATAATAATATTTTTCTCCTGAATTCAATTATTTTCACAAAAATAAAATTATTCACAGAAATGCAATTCTTTAAAACTTTGTTTAATAAAATTCGTTGCAAGAATTCAATTATTTTCGTAAAAAATAAAATTCTTCCCAAGAATTCAATTCTTTTTAAAAATAAAATTTTTCTCAGGAATTCAATTGTTTAAAAAAAACATTCAATAAAATTCTTCGTCAGATTTCAATTATTTTCAATTTTCAATGAAATTTCTCGATAAAATTTAATTATTTTCAAAAAATTTTTAAATTTCTGAGAAATTCAATTATTAAAAAAAAATCGAATAAAATTCTTTACAAGAAATTAATTATTTTTATAAATAATAATATTTTTCTCCTGAATTCAATTATTTTCCCAAAAATAAAATTCTTTACAGAAATTCAATTCATTAAAAAATTTTTAATAAAATTTGTTGCAAGAATTCAATTATTTTTATAAATGTTTTGATAAAATTCTACACAAAAATTTAATTATTTTCATAAATATTAAAAATTTCAGAAGAAATTCAATTACATATTTACAAATTCTCTATAAATTTCTTTTCAATAATTCAATTGATTTCATTAATAAAAAATTTCTTTTTAGGAATTCAATTATTTTCTTATAAATAATAAAACTCATCACAGATCTTCAATATTATTTGTACACAATTTTAAATCAAATCTTTGACAAATGCAATTATTCTTGAAAATTTTATTAAAATTTGTCGATAAAATTGAATTGTTTAAAAAAAATGTTTAACTTTGATTAAAATCTTTGAAAATATGGATTTTTCATACTTTTAACTAACAATTCTGTAGAATTAATTCTTTTCAAAAAGTTCAATTTAATTTTTTTTTCTACTATGTATTTGAAGTTTTTATTTTCTAATACATATTTAATTGAAGAATTTCCAAATAATCGACACATAAAATTGTATTGTAAAGAAATGGATTTGAAAATTCGCAAAAAGAACTTTTTTCGAAAATTATTAAAAATATATTGATTTAGAGAATAATTTTAGTTAAAAATTCTAAAATATAATAATTGAATTGAAATGATGAAAATAATTTTGAAGTATAATTAGCAGAAATTACTATTTATTAGTAAAATTTACTAATTCAAAAACAAAAAGTCAGTCACTAGATCAAATTAGTAAACATTTTAACTAATTCAAATTTAGAGAGTTATAATTATTAAAAAACATGAAGAAATCGATGACTCCGAGTCGAAGACGCGGAGTGGTCGATTTCTTCATGTTTTTCAATAATAATAATATTAATTCTTCTAAGTTTGTTGAATTTCAAAAAAGTTTGAATTTAAAATTTAAAAATCTAAATTACAATTCAAAAAAATTCGTAAATAAATGTAACAACATTTTTTTGAATATCTAATAATTTTTAGAGTGAATCAGAATATTGTTTTAAGGTCAGGGAAAAAGTGAAAATTTAATCTGGAAATAATGGAAAATTCAGGGAAAACCCAAATTAAATTTTACTGTCAACTCCAAAAACGGTTATTAAACCAATAAATTTGGCGGGATATTTAAAACGACATTTGTTTTTGTTTCTTTTTAAAGAGCCATATAACTATAGAGAAGGAGTTCGGCTGGTTTCGCAGTCAATCGGTAAGAATCGAGAACATCTGCCCTGCTCCCCTCATACACTTTCTGTTGGGAAACTGAATGCGGACACACACGTAAAACTTGTACTATAGCTCGCACTCCGTTGCCACGGCATCGTGTTCAACGCCGCGCGATACTTTTATATATTCTCTCTTCAAAAATAATACATTTGACGGAAATCTGTTCCGTCAATATCAAAAAATAATAATCCAAATACATCCATTGTTTTCGATAAATGCGCATTCGCGCGCGCAATATCGTGAACATGAGTTTTCCCGCCTTTTCACCAGTTTTCTTTCAAAAAGTTTTCTGTGCCATTTAAGATTTCGTTATACATACGCATGTATATTGTAATAAACGAGTGCTTCTCTTCATGGGAATATAGTTTTTTCTTCATCTCAGGACGCCGGTTGGATATATCCTGATATATTGGATTTCAAGTATCGCTTTACGAAAAGAAAAATTAATACAGTGAGTTTTAATGATCATTTTTACCTATTATTAGTATGTGAGATTTTCAAATTTTACACACGCATGCGAACTTGTCAAAAAGAAAAAAATTTCGTGTTTTCAATGACTCAATGAGACGACGACGACGAATGTGTGTACAAAAAGGGGAAAAAAACTTGATGAAAGGACAGACGAACAAAAACATTTCATTGAGTCATGCATTTGGTCCACTTAAATGTGTGTTCATATTGAAATTATTCCTCTAAATTATTTAAATATTTAGAGCAAAAAAAAAACGAGTATTTTTAAAAAACACTCACGAAAATATTCTATTAATATTTCTGTTAAACAAACATTTTTCTTGAATCTGAATTTTTTTTTAATTTTATTACAGAGAATTTAAATTTTCCTGCATTTTATAATTTAAAAACAAAAAACAATTATTTTGTTTTAAACAATTATTCTGATTATGAATTGTTTTACTTCAGTTTAGATTCTAATTTTTCAAATTTTAGATTCGAAAATTTTTAATAAACGGAAAATCTTGTATTATTTTAAAACTTTGTTATAACATAGTTATATACATTTTTCAAAAAATTATTAAACAAAAGTACATTTCTAAGAATTGATGCAAAAAGTATATAAGTTTTATAAAAACAATATGCATTGTTTCTCATATTACTCTAAAGAGGAAATCTTATTTTAAGTTGCAGTATTTTTAATACTTTTGATACTTGTCACTAGTTTTTAACATTCAAATAAACGGAATTTACTTTCTATTTTTAAATATTTTCAAAAATTACCATAATAAAATGGAAAATAATGTAAATTACATACTAGTTGACAATTCAGTTTTTAAACACCGAAAATATTTTTTAAAATACAAAACAAATTAAAAGCAACAAAAATGACGATCATTTATTCATTTGAAGGTTCAAAACTTTAGGAACAACAAATGACCCACAAGTTTGAACGTTCAAATTGAACGAGATTTTTCTTCTTAAATATTTTTAAATTCATAAAAATTAAAAATTACTATACAATTCGTTAAAATTTAACTTTTACCTAATTGAGAATTAATTTCTTTAATATTAAGAGTTTGCAAAAAACACAAAATAAAAGAAGTGAAAAAATAACATTCAAAACAAGAATATTATTATAAATATTTTCATAAATTACAAATTACAAATAAAAATATAATAAAATTAAAAACAAATTTTACATTTAGAAATTTCAAAATTCAATTTTGAAGAAGAAACATATAAATTTCCATCACTTGAATGTTCAGAACATTAAGATCACCTAAAAATTCTATTTTCAAGACACATTATCGCATCTCAAAATAAGATTTTCTTTCTTCCCTAAATTTTTTTCTTCCTTTCTTTTTCCTCTCTTTTATTTTTCTTCTTTCCAATTTCTCTTTTTTCTGCTCCTTTTTTTTGTTTTTTATAATTTCTCTTTCTTTTTCTCCTCATTTTTTCTTGATAAATTGAAAAATGTCTTTTTATTTACAATTAAAACGAATGAATAATGTTTTTCATGGTATTGCTATTGCGAAATCGTGTCGCATTTCGTACAGTCGGAATAAATAAACGTCAATGGCCGGTTGTAACACATACGCGTGCTTTGAATGTTCAACTGATGCGAACTCGCACTTTCGTAGGTGGACCATTCACGCGAAACAAAAAAACAAAAAGAAATGCGACTGCATTCAATTTTACAAAAAAAAGAAAGAAAGAAAGAGGAAAAAAAAATGAAAAATGATTGACCATTGCTTTATATAGAGATATCCATGTTTGAAAGACCAGGAAAATAATGAATAACGCCAAGTCATTTTACCTATACCCCAACACTATATATAATGGGGAATCAAAACAAACATCAAACCATCAATGAGAATTTTGCAGTATAATTCCTTCCCATTGTAAGCACATAACGGCTCCTGATATTTTATCAATTATTCGCTTCATTGAATTTCAATAGCAAAAAAAAAGGAGAAACAATAAGATATTTAAGTACTGTATGTGTGCATACGGTAATTATTGCCAAAAGATATTAAACTTGTTTGTTAAAAAAAGGGTTCAACAGAAACAAACTTTGGGTTTAAAGTTCTTTAAATTTAGGAGATTTTTGTACCGATAATTAAAAAATTAATTCTCTGCATCTAAAGTTGCAGCAACATTGACAATATTTAGGGTTTTTACAAGCCAACAAAAATTTTGTTGTAATGTGTCATGGAAATTTTATCCTTTATCACCTAGAAATCATGGAATTTTATAAGGAGAAATTTGTAGAATATTGTCAATTTTGTTGCAAGTTTAGATGCTATGGGGGTTCGGATAATCGAGGTTGCACTGTAATTAATTGTTTTCTACTAAATACTGCAGCAAAAGTTAACCCAACATTATTCCCCGATAGTTATTTTTAACCAATTCAAATTCAAAAAGAGAGTAATTTTCGAAAATTACAACCGTGGAAAAATACTTCGTTTAAACTTTCGGAATATTCTCAACATTTCAATTCGCAAAAAGAATTAAATAAATTACGCTCCTCAGACCTTTATAGGGACACACAATAGAAAACTAAAGTAAGAGTTCCATTTAATAATCAGTGGAATACTAAATTAGTAAATAGCCTTCCTACCATATCAACGTTTGTTCTAATTGCTACAAAGAAGTCGTTTAACAAATAATGAATTCCGATTTACAGATAATGCTTATTCCTCGTAAAGAAATAAAGAGAAAAGAAAAGCGAGAAGGAAAGAGAGGAATAGAGTAAGAAAGAAAGAGAGAGGAGAAAAAGAGAAAAAGAGAAGGAAAAGGAGAAATAGAGAGAAATCCAAGAAACGTTGAATTGAACTAACTTGCAAATTGATTCGGAAAGTACGTTACGTAGAGACATTACGTATTTATATTGTCAGATGTATCTCTCGGTGGTTTGTTGCCTATTTTCCTGAACAGCTGCAATGTCCATTAACAATGCTCAAAAATACAGACACGAACTAAACGGACTGCGCGTGATAAATTGCATATAGATGCTGCTTGGGAAAAGAATGTGATTTTTGAATGGATCAATGCACCCTCTACATTTTGCATGAAACAAGAAGGGAACACACATTTTCGACCAACATTTTTCATTCATTCGAACGCTTTAATTGCATCGCTTCCATATTCCCACATGTTTGCATCCATAGCCATATACCAATCCTCTAATTTATACATTCTGCACTGGGAAATCAAACATCCAATTGCCCTTCACATGTCAATACTAAATACAAGTTTATTACTCTAGCCTCAACATTTTTCGAATTGAAAAAATACGCTCATAATTCGAATGCAATTTTTGAATTTAATTCTCAAGTATAAACTTCGATTGTAATTTTTGAATGTAGTTTTCGATCTTAATTTTTAATTTCCTTAAAGTTCAGAACGTTCGAACGCGACAGAAATTTCTGCGCACTTTTGTCAATTTTTACTATTTTTGGAGTAATAGTTGCTACGATCCAAGTAAAATTTAGTAGCATGTACTTAATTCACTTTAAGAATAGTAATAGTTGAAAAAAATGCGCAGAAGTTCGAGAGAGTTTTGGTAAATAGTAAAAGTTACTCTAGACTATATTTTTCTCCATGATATAATTCGGATAATTAAAGATACATCTTCCGAAAGTAAGTTAATTACTGCTTCATTAATTAGCAATATACAATTACAATTAGTTCAGAAAATTTTTACTCATTCTTCAGATGACTCCTTCCTGACACTATTACGTTTATCATCTAATTAAGCAAGAATTGTATAAAATCGAAAGTGTTTCTCGCGTGTTTTTTTTTTATCTAGTTTTTGTTATCGTCATTCGACAAAACTACAGCTCATTTAGGATAATTGTCTCTATACGGGCGAATTACATCATATACGATTTCTCCACCCCACATTATAAATTCTGCCAACAATCAAAATATACATAAAAGCATTATCTCCTTACAATTCGATAAAAAATTTATCAAAATTCAGAAAATCGATGAAGTCACAACATTTGTTTCAATTGAAAATTACCTCTCTCAACACAGAATATATATGTTTCCTTGAATCTAACAGCAAAAAAAACGAATCTATCCAACTTGCATTACGCAACAAGTTATATACATTGTCAGACAATATCGATGCCCATTTCATTCAATTGCTTTATATATACTTATCAAACATTATCGTTTTATGGTTTATCGATTGACTCTTTGAAGAAAAAGCGATTCATTGAAGAACAATTTTTAAAAATTCCTTTATCATTTTACAAATCAATAAATAGAATGAAATGTACAATCGCAGTATGAGATCAATTAAAAAATAACTCCAAAACAATAAAGCTTTGGAGTTATTGTTATTTAATGATGTCAATACATAGGTGTATTAATACTGAAAGAAAAGATTTGTTTATACAAGCAGGCTTTTCAATCATACATCGCAATATATAGTGTCAAATATATGCTCTAACCTAAAGTCACGAATTACAATAAATCTTTTCTTCTCTATTTTTTTCACGATTGACGTAATAGTACAACTCATTTCAATGTTTCTTATCTCTTTACCGCTTGAATCTATATAATTAGACTATAAATACTTCTTTGCTAAAGGAAAAAATAAAAAAAATGAAAAATTCCTATTTCAATTCCTCTTTTTAATCACAATTTAAAAAAAAGAAAAAAAAACAATTGTCAACTGTAGGAAAATAGAAAAAAAGGACAAAAAAAACTGTTTTCAAGTTATAAACAGAAAAGTGAAGATTTCTCGTATTTGACTAATGACGCACAGTGAATTTAATTACCTTTTGTAAATGTTATCTCTACATTAGTATGCTAGTTTTTGGAATTGAAGTTGACCTTGGAAATGAATTACTTTCTGGTATCGATTAAGCAGCTGTGGTATGATTTTCCTATTATTTTTTTTTTTTGTGGTAAATCTGTCTCTCGCCGTTATATTATGCGGTTTCGAGCCTTTACGAACAGGTTTTAATATGAGAGGCCTTCTCA